TATTTATAAACAGTGTTCGGCTCACTTCACTTCAGATCGGTCATTCACTCGGCTGCCCTCGGCAGCTTAGTGAATAGACCCCTTAGTCTTCAAAGCAGCAGAACTGCAGAAAATACATTGTATCTTCCTAAGAGAGAAGCAAAAAACTGAGGCATGCTGGTAGTGGTAAGGGCTATAGTGGCCTGGCCTTCAGTTTTTTTGTTTGCTAGTTTCCAATCCTCCTGTAGGCAGCAGTATAACAAAAAGGTTAAAGATATCTTGTGTCCCTCAATGGATGAAAAAGAAACACAATCTAATGTTTGTCTGTGACAGTGGTCTAGACCTACTGTTCTAGACTAATTACTGACATATCCTGTTCTAGGGGCCATTACGGACGGTTCCTGTTCTAGGCCACTTTATAATTTATTATCTGGTAGCACACTGCAGTTTATCAATTCCAACTACTGCAGACCTATAAAGATGCATTACCATGATTAGTAATACTTCATAGGTTAAATAAAAGTGGCAGAAACATTTTATTATTTTATATACTATACCAGGTTCATGTGGTACTTCATTTACGCAATGGCATCATTAGATAAATATGATAAACCCATCTAAGATGCTAAGGGAAACTTTTTATTTTTGCAAACTTCCAAACTGAATAGGTATCCTAGCTTATATAAGCATCAATGTACATATCAGTCTCAGGAGAAAGTAATCAAGTTATTAACATTAGGTCTACTGGGAAATATGCAGAAATGCACTAAATTGAAAGTAAAATTATACCTCACGGATGTGCTGCTGCTCAACTTCATGCCTTTTGATCATTATCTTCCTCTTGAAGAGTCGGCAGTTTTTCTCATAGTACAGTCTCTGTTGGCTAAGGAGTTGAGCTTCTTCCTCAGCCTGAGTGTGCTGGAGGTTCTCTTTATGCTTTGATATGCGTTCCTGTTTTTCTTTCTTGGGCGTGCTATGGTCCTCACTCATTTCCTGGATGCAGAAAACCATCAGTCAAGGTCAGCATGTTATAATAATGTAATATAAGGGCACAGAGGACCTTGCTGTATATGGTAGTGTTTATATTGGGGATTGGTACAGAGGCACAGATGGTGTCTGGAGGTTTCCTATACATGACTATGGATGCCCATAAATTAAGGTTAATTAGACATATTTAACTACCCCCCTTATGAAATTAACCCATCTTCCATCAATATCAATATATAGCCTCTAAGAAAAAATGTTCTTTTTAATGGAAACATGACATTTACGCCAATCACCTTTCCCACCTAAGGATACTGCACATTAGCAGTACTTTATGACACAGCAGTTTTTCTCTGAGAAGGTAACCCTTATACTTTCTTACTGCTTAAAGATTGGATATTTCCCAGGCCACACAACAAAGTGCAGATAACTGAAACTGAACTCCATTTACTACATTAGCATTTTGAAATTGGCAGACTCTCAATCTGATGCTTTGGATGTGTGCTATAGTAATGAACTTATGTTACTATAAGTAGGTTGAGTACAGAGGGATGTTGCCCACTCCCTGTCATGGTGAGACGCTTGGACATCTAGAAACCTCACACGTTCATGGGAAAATTCAAGGCTGAAAACTGTCTGTAAAGGAAAAGTTAATGGTAACAACACATTCATACAACTCGGAACCTTCCAAAATCAAACACATTGTCAAAGTGTAAAAGCTGCACACCCTCACAACAGGGGGCTGAGGGAAAATACATTTTTCTTCAAGATACCACATTAAGGCCCCATTCACACCAGGGCATTTCGTTGTGCATTTTTTGCCCGTGCTGAAACGCATGCAAATCAAAATCACATGTACTCCTATGGGGGCCGTTCACGCAAACGTGTTGAGTTGTGCGTAACAATGAGCCCTTTGTTTAAAATAGTCCATGAGCGTCTTTTGTGGTGCTTAGCTCGTTTTGCTCTATAGACGTCAATAGAAATGCGCCAATCAGCATGTTTTGCGTCTTTTTTTAGCCCGATTTTGCAGCTGAGACTGCTTTTCATTGGACAACTGAAAACGAGCTTTAAAATGCTCTTACATATGAACATAAACACCTGTAAAACGTGCTGGAACACGCATAAAAATGCTATGAAAAGAGGCCGAAACGCTGTTGCCGTGGTGTGAATGGGGACTAACAGATAAGCAAACGACAGGGACCACATAATGCTGGTCTTGTACTTGTTTGTAATAAATACATTTACGAGAAAAATAATTGTTCATAAGTACGAGTTCCAAAACGGTTCAGAATACTGTTGGCATATCCAAATTGGGATTCTTTGATAGAAATATCTTTATGCCTCAATCACAACCTTGTTGGAAATTAGGGTGGTAAAGTGATGCAACATCCATGGTGGCCAGAATGTAGCTTTCATTTCTCTCAGTTTCAAAATGATCTTGAAAACCTTTTATATAGGCGATACGCTCTTTGACAGATTTTTTTAAATGTAAGATACATATTTAATGTTTGTATTTTTGGCCTTTCCCTCATTTCCCCCTTGTTTGCCACTTTGTGGTTTAGTATTTGACATTACTCAATCTTCATTCATTATAGCCTTTTAGGTCTGTCTACTTTAATATGCAATACTTTTTTTTTAATGTTCAACAGTACCTGGTAGAGCATATTTTATATGGCATACCAACCATTGCTATGCTAATCCTGCTTGTTCACTGCTTAATGTTTTGTTTAAATTTGCAACTTTCTAGGTTGTATTCTGAATGTATCCCACTGCACAGCAGTTATCCAGAGAGTTTGTTTTTTGGGCTAGACTGCAATTCCATACAGCTGTGTGGTTACTTAGCAACGAGTGCACCATTTAATTTAGTACTGACAGTGGGTGCTACTGAGCATGTGCGGGGAGGAGTCAGCAGACACTGTTTTTCAGTGAGCCTCGTTCTCTAATTATAGGCAAAATTCCTGCTTCCTGGAAAATCCAACCTGCTCATAATACAGTTTTATTTTACATCTACGTCAGGCTCCTTATAATCCACTGATCTGGGGTTGTTTCTGGGCAACATAAAGTATGTGTAAGATGGGAACATTTCACACTACAGGAAATAGGTGATCCTGTTATTTGGAGTTTAATTGATTGCTTACATGCGATGGAGATGGGGCTGATTTGTGCTTGGGGTGGGGATTCATCTCATTGGTTTTTGGCACTATTTAATGGATGCTGGAATGTTTAGATTTTGTCACTGTTTGCCAGACGAAGGAGCTGGTTAGAGCTCTGAAACATAGCGCTACTTGTTTTCTGACTAATAAATTTGTCATGTGAGCATTTGCTAATGATCTCTACGATTGCTACAAAGAGTGGTGCTACATCATTACGCAGCACAGCTTTTTGCAGCATTTAGTATTTGGCTACCCATGAGAGAAATAAAAAAATAAATATTTTTTTTTTAAAATAGCACCGGACAAAAAAAAAATCTAACATTTCGGCACAAGCCAAGATTTTTAAAGTTATTATAAATATATACCTCCTCCCCCCACCCCTGTAAGCACACACAAGCTTTAAACAGAAGCAGCCTCTAACAGCTAGAAATGCACAAGAATTCTGTGTGTTAAATTTGCCACTGCCCGTCTTGCAGATTTAGGACACAACATTTGGAAGAAAGTAACCACTTTTTCCTTAATAGTTCTGATGAAGCTTCCCAGATTCAGGTTAGTACTGCACATGCCTCTTTAATCTTTTCCTTGCAAATCTTGTACTGCTTTTTCTGACTTTCTAAGAAGGATGTTAAGTCTTTCTTTTGTTGGGCAATGATCTGTTGTTGAAATCTCCTTTCATCCGCTGCAGCCATCTTTGCCTGTTAGAAAAAAAAAATTAGATTATATTTTATATATATCAAATTTAACAACTAGTATATTAAGAGTGCTTTTAATACACCCTCATTGAATTTTTTACACATTCTTGAATGTAAACTGATTTAAATGAGACCTTGTCTCACTGATCTCCACAAAAAGTTCACCATGCCAGAGTGGAAAAGTCTACATCGCTATAATAGCCTATGCATCTAATACCTTTGTCGTGGAACACCTATATAAGCTTTAGTGCACCCAACAGCCTTCAGAATTAACACATGTAGATGAAACTATGTTCAAATAAAGAGTCACATGATCTAAAAAAATACACCTGTTTGCTAGATAAAAGACAATATAGCTTTATGAGGACCAAGGAGCTATGAAAACAAATTCTGGAAAAGCAGCAATTAGAGTTGGGTTAAAAAACATTGTAAACATCCCTAGAGCACCTTTAAATATATATTTAGAAAACAGATATATAGCTGAAAACACTACTCTTCCTAGAGAAGGCAGACTACTAAATCTCATTGCATGGGTAAGGAGGGCATTACACAGAAGTAACCTAAGGTCATCGGTAATTTAGGAGCAAAATTTCAAGATCTACAACTGAAAAAGGCAGAAATTGTCCACAAAGCTGGGTTTTAAGGAAGATAGATTGGAAGAAACACATTATTGAGAAAAAGCCATACAGTTTGGAGTTTACCAAAAGGCACGTGAATAACACAGGAGATTATTATTCCCAAATTTTTCCATTTTTACTAATTGAAGTGATATTAAACCTTCCTTTTAAAAAAAATATTTGCTATTAGGAGACCCACCTTTGCCTGAGGCTGAACTTTTTCTTTAAAAGTTTTAAATTCCTCGTTTTCAAGTGGGTCCCCACAGCGCTATTCACCCTGCTCCCTGTACAAGTGCCTCCATCGGCTAACGGAGGCACCCGTGCGTGCTCGTACCCACAGTGGCTGTGTGCGTCCATAGACACACACAACCCTGCGGAAGGCCACGCCCCTTCTTTCTGACTAACACTTTGATTGATGGCAGAAGTAGCCTATGGCTCCTCTGCCATCAGTAACCTCCCCCTACAACCAGGAAGTACGGGGAACGGAGGATCACTGCGGGACCGGCGGCGGGGACGAGCGTCGCTGACAGGTAATTGTGTGGGGGTTGGGGGGGGGACTGGGGGAAAAATGGTTCTGGGCGGTTTTTACCCTAATGCAGAGAATACATTAAGGTAACAAATGCCCAGACCTTAATACTACTTTAATACATGCTGGCTGTAACATAATGAAGTTGGGATTTTTTTTTTATTGGCAGGGACTGTGAAACTGGTCACAACTAAAAAAAAAGATGGAACTGGGACAAAGATTCAGCTTCCAATAGGAAAATAACATTAAAAAAGCACTCCAGGATTTATTAAAATTGTTCCTTGCAGTGGGGCTAACCCAAACTGCAATAGTTTACTGTTTGTTTTGGTCTACAGGAGAAAATACATTAACCTGATCATCTACCCTGTGGCAGTCAGCACTCACCTCTGTCCCCTCTGCTCCAGCTGTGGTATGTCCTTCGGGTTCATATGTCTAATAGACCTGAATTAGACATTATGACGACAGGGGTCCTTAGACCACTGCAGCCCGGGGAAGAGGCTGCGGGTGACTGGTCTACCAGCCAAGCAAAACGGAGGATTAGGTGAATATATCCTCTTTATTTTCATCCCTAGACAAACAAAACGAGCACTTAATGAGTACAGGGTTCTTTGTTTAAGCTGCACTGGAGTTGCCTAATTTAAGAACCTCAAAGTCCTTTAGACCTTAATCCAATTAGGAATCTATGGGAAGACTTGAACTGGTTCAACAATGGTCACTATCAAATCTCAAAAAGCAAGAGCAATTTACTGAAAAACTGGCAAAGGTTGCAGGGTCTAAATGTGCAAGAAGAAACAAAGTGTATCTATAGCCAAAATGTTTATTTTTCTTTAGTTCTGGATAGATAAGGAAGGGATTAGAACTTTTGATAGGTTTGAATTGCTGTTAGTGACAATAATCACCAGGACCAGTGGCGACGCAGAGACAGGAGTTATGGGAAATCCAACATTTTACAATTATCACTAGAACAGGTGGTGAAGGTAAATCCTGCAATGCGGATGCCTATTCTGGTGACAAATAGGACAATTCCTCCTACTTGGATTACTTAGGCTTCTCTCACTTCCTGATTTACCTTCAGGACTAGAAGAATCTCTCATTTCCTCAACAGGACACAGAGAGCAAAAAAATAATTGATCGGGATTAACCCTTTCCTACTGTATCTAAAACTGAACAAAAAGAGTTTTGGCTATTCATGCACTTTAAAGTTTAAGTGCACTTATGGTTATTGGGTTCCAACACTCATTCTCAACAGCCTCTGAAAGCCATATACTTGCATGTCCATGCTACACCAAGATCTTTTGTATGGCCTGCATTAGCTTTTCTTGAAGTCCTTACCATAAGGTCTTCCACACCAACTTCGTTCGTTTCAATGGAAAGTCTATTTATCGCTTGCCCTAGTAGAGTATGAACTTTCCTTTGGAATGAAATGAGGTTGCAGAACAAATGTGCAAGAAGTCAAACTTGACATTTTCAAGAAATGGATGTGCCTGGCAGACCGTACAGTGAAGACCTTGGAGAAACACAAGACAAGTAGCTATATAGCTTTTAAAGGCTGTTGGTGACGAGTATCAAAGCCCAAAAAGAATAAGTACACTAACTTACACGAAAACAGACTTGCAGCTGTGAATGTAAATATATGTGGTTCTATGAAGTATTGACTCATGGGTGAATGGACACAAAAAAACATCTTTGATTCATTTTTGTATCACAATAATGAAACAATTTGTACCTTTAAACCTTCTGTAACTAAATGCTAAAAAAAAATGTAAATTTAAGTTTAGGCTGTGGGTAAATACATAAGCAAAGCACTGTATGTATATGGTTGGAGGCAAAAAAAAAATCACCTATGGCATTTAGTTGCTATGCACTGCCTACAAAATATGCTTGCGAACATTTATATAGTATACTTTCCCTAAAAAAATATCATGTACATTTCATAAGCTGTTTAATGGCCATTTTGTGCATAAAAATGCTAATCATTATATGACAAATCCAAACCCTATGATTTGCATGAAAGCATTTAAACTGTCTTCTGATAGTGGCTGTGAGACATTAACCAGCTTATTAAATTCTGACCAACTGGCTGTACCCTAAACCAGCCAATCAAAAGCCATAATTCACTGATGCAAGAACAAAGCATCAAAGCCAAATGATAACTATAGGTTGCTGTTTCTGCACATCAGTTCTGTTTTTTGCACTGATTTTACTCAAAACAACAAATAGCACTAAAAAGCTACTCCCGGTTAGTAAGAAATCTGGGATGTAAGAAATTGGGGGTTAAAGTTAAATTACAGTTTTCATTACAGATATGTTTACCGCAATACAAATAGGATTTCTGTACTGTAAATAATTTTTCTAGGAGTCCATTAAGGGACACAGGAAGCCAAGCCATCGGGTTATACTGCCGCCTACATGATGACTGGACACTGGCAACCATAATACTTTAGGCAAGCCCAGGATAACCCTTCCAACTACAAGCATGCCTCAGTTTTGTAGGAAGCAATACTAAGAGCATGATCATAAACACAGAGGCGTGGGACCTGTGTCCCTCAATGGACTCCAAAAAAAGGATTTTACGGTGAGTAGAAAAATCCTACTTTCTTTTTCGTCCATTGAAGGACACTAGAAAATGTAAAAGTTAGGGACATCCAAATGTAACCCAACTGAAGAGTGGGCAACACAGCAAACCAATGCTTACAGGCCTGAGAATAAACAACAGAACTGGGAACTGCCTGCAGCTTAAAGGAGAACTATGAGGTGAGTGCTTTTCACTCACCTCATAGTTGTAGCCGACCTGTGACAATGAGACTGTCACAGGTCGGCTTACTAGATCGGGAGGTGAGCGAACACATACCGGCGTTCGCTAAGCTCTCGATCCTATCACGGCTCTCTGCAGTGACAGGGGAGGGGCTGGATTACCCCCTCCCCGCTCCGATCCGCCAGCGCTGACTGGCGGAACGGACGGGGGCGGCTACAGCTGGCTCTGCCTTTAGATAGGCAGAGCCAGCTGTCAGTCACGCAGCTGGGTGGATCCAGACATAATTGTCGGGATCCGCTTCAGCTGCGACACCTTAACCCCATAGTTCTCCTTTAAAGAGCCACCTGAAGAACCTCATGCCCAAAACTGGCACCAAATGAGGCCTGAACATCCACCTGATAGAACTTACAGAACATGTGAACAGAAGACCAGGTGGCAGCCTTGCACATTTGGGAAACAGTAGCCTGATGCTGTAAAGCCCAAGAGACACTCAATGACCTTGTAAAGTGAGCCTTGATGGAAAAGGGTGGAAGCTGATTCTTAGGACCATAATCCAGGCAATGTAGGGAAAACTCTTTTTGATGAAATGGAGCCGGAAAGAGGTTTGGCAAAAAGATGCTCTGGTTAATGTGAGCTGCCAAAACTACCTTAGTAGGCAAGTACTGGACCTTAACACCTTCTTGTTCAAAACCAGAAACGTTTATTTGCTAGGTAAAGCCACCAGCTCAGACACTCACCTTCCAGAAGGTCATGGCTACAAGAATCACCGCCTTAAATGTGAGAATAAAAAAGGTGCATGTCTCTTATAGGTTCATATTGTAGTATTTGTAGTGCTGCAAGAACCAGATTCAGATTCCACACTGTCACATGGAAGATACCTAAGGGACACCCTGAACAAAGATAATAAAGAATGAGAGACCAATTGCCGGCCTGGCCCCAAATCTCCTGCTCATCCTTTTCAGCGCCCACAGAGACAGGCACCGCAAAGGACAGTCCCACGTCACCGCACAGCCCTGGAGCCTGGCATCGGAAGACCGGCACTCCCACAGAGCCTGGCATCCACCCGTACCGCACAGAGAGCCCGGCACCCAACCGCACGAAGGGC